AGAGGGTGGGGGGGGGGGGGGTGGGAGAAGAGACGATTTGGGGGGGTGGGGGCGGTGGAAAGAGGATAGTGTAGGGGGAAAGGCAACAGGACCTGTCCGATCGCTGATCACAGCCAGCAGCCGATCGATCACCGCTTGTTGTGTTGTGTGTGTGTGTTTTTACAAGCAGAGAGAGAGAGAGAGCAAGCAAAATCCTTTTTTTTTCCTGAATGAAGCCAGCAGAAGCAGACACGAGGGCGGACGCGCACACACACGCACTCACTCCACTCAGCTTTTTGGGAAAAAAAATTGTCAATGTTGCAACTTTGCAGAAGGGAATTCTAGGCGCTCGGTCTTCATTCACAAGTGGCTGTTTCCTTTACAAGCGGTTTACAGTTGTCCCCCTGCTACTCCGGCGCCCCGATCCTTCCCACAGATGTGAAGTTTGCAAAGTGCTTTAAAGAAGCAGATTTACGCGAACTGCTATTAAGTTTTCCAGAGGTAGCTGATGGGTAAATGGCGTCATGGGATCGAATAGAGCATTTGTTGTCCCAGAGGATATATTGCATCCGGTCTCTGCTGATTGGTTCTGGGCTCAAATTCATTAGAGTTGAGTGAGTGAGAAATGGGGCGGGGGATGGGGAGGAGACGGAGAGAATATTCAATATGTGCCAGTAATAAAAGTCTAGCGCTGCTTGAACATGCAGTACAAAACAGACGTCTTTTAAACAGCAGTCTGCATATCAGACTCCAGCTTTTCGACCGGCTCACCACCGCCCCCCCAACCCCGGTTATTGTTGAAGCTTTCGATTTTTTTAAAAGGTTCACTGTTTCTGAATATCAATAACCTGCTCCAGAATCCAGATCGGATCTAAAAATTAATATACACATGGTAGAATTTTCCAGCAATCAATCCGTACATTTGATCTTCAGTGCCCTTGCAATTGTTAACCCTTCAAACGTTAGTCAAAACAGTTCCCCAATAAACGTGCCCACACTTATCACTGCAATAAACTGAGCAAACGGTGCAAATTCATTGATATTGATCCCTTTACATGCCCAGGTTTCTAAACTGCCATTAGATATCCCTGTTTTAAGCCATTGGCACTTTCTGGAAACCATGCGTGAAACCCACGATCATTTATTTGGGTTAAAAAAACACACGCATTAAATTCCCTTCTCAGGAAAAAAGAAGAAAATATATTGTACACAAGAGGAAATGAGCAGATAAAATGAGGCGAATTCAGTTTTGGAGGCTGGTGGGGAGGGAAAAACAAAGATGGTCAAAGAAGAAGGGGTTTTAGTAGGGTTTTTGACAGAGGCTAGAACACAGCTGACAAATAGTTTTATAGAAAACCCCAAAATATAGGTGTATAGTTACTGAACCACAGCACTCTGAGGGTGGACTAAATGGAATGGGAAACAACCAGCAATCTGGAGTGACACTTCTGGATTCTGGAATGCACATAGTTTGCTAAATGACTGGAAACCACCGTGCAGATTAAGGTAGAAGAGAGCCATATAGATACAGGAGTGAATCCCGCTTTGGATGTCAATCAAGCAGTCTGATCATTTAGCAATAGTGGAGGAAATGAGCAGGGTAATGGTGAGACTGTGCTGGATGTTATCAGCACATACGTGAAAAATAAGAGATATGTTTTCAGATGATGCCACCAAGGGTTAGCGTGTAGATAAGAAATAGGAGAGAAGCAAGAATAGTTCCATGGGGGAAGAAGCAAGGGTCATGGAGCAGAAGCGGGAAGAGAGGCCATTACAAGTGATCTTTTGGTGACAATGAACTAACAAAGTTTGGAACAGATGAGTAGAGCTGGATGATCACAGAGAGTCCTTGAAGATGTAGCCAACTATGTCAAAAGCTACTGACAGGTCAAACAAAGATGAGAATGCTAGTTGACCTTTGCTACAGTTACATAGGATGTCATTTGTGATTTTATGGTGAAAAAAGCAGAAGTGAATTACTAATAAGTCATTGGAAGCCATTTACTGCATATATAACCATAAAAATAACAATTGGTTTAAACAAATAGCTTCCATTATTAGAGACAACAAGGTGCAGGGCTGGATGAACACAGCAGGCCAAGCAGCATCATAGGAGCAGAGAGGCTGACGTTTCGGGCCTAGACCCTTCATCAGAAAAGGGGGAGGGGAAGGGGGTTTGGAATAAATAGGGAGAGAGTGGGAGGCGGATAGAAGAGGGATAGAGGAGAGGATAGGTGGAGAGGAAACAAACAGGTCGAAGAGGCGGGGATGGGGCCAGGAAAGGTGAGTGTAGGTAGGGAGTTAGGAAGGGGATAGGTCAGTCCAGGGAGGACGGACAGGTCAAGGGGGCGGGATGAGGTTGGTCGGTAGGAGATGGAGGTGCGGCTTGAGGTGGGAGGAGGGGATAGGTGGGAGGAAGAACAGGTTAGGGAGGCAGGGACGAGTTGGACTGGTTTTGGGATGCGGTGGGGGGAGGGGAGATTTTGAAACTTGTGAAATCCACATTGATACCATTGGGCTGCAGGGTTCCCAAGCGGAATATGAGTTGCTGTTCCTGCAACCTTCGGGTGGCATCGTTGTGGCACTGCAGGAGGCCCAGGATGGACATGTCGTCTGAGGAATGGGAGGGGGAGTTGAAATGGTTCGCGACTGGGAGGTGCAGTTGTTT